TAAATATTGTCTGGCTTATGAACAACCTTTCATAAAATTCCCTGTCCTGTTCGACCACCTACAACCGTCTGCATCTCCCCGCTGCTCCTCCGTTCCATCCTCCACTCACCCAGTTCCATCCCTCCTCCTCCGTCTTGCACCTCCCGAGAATACCTGCGCGCGCGATATGAACGGTGCCACTTAAAAGCGTTCAGCAAAACGACAAATACTTTTCAGATGTATCACTTTTCTTGTTCTGCGACGAGGTGCGACTTAGTTTGCGAGTTCGAGCGCCCTGCAAATTCAACAATCAGTGTACTTGAGATTTTTTATGTAATTTATAATATACATTCAAATACTTATTAATTTGTACTCAAATGAATCTTTGCTGTAGTTCGTTCTCAGATACATTGAAATTTTAATATCAATTGAAATAACTGATAAAAAAATACATAAAATTTTTTGAATGAATTTAAATTATTCGACATCTTGGAAATTGAATTACATCTTACGTGTCGCACAGCTCTCGTAAGTGGCGCTTGGATTGCTGGTGAAGCCTAGCACTCTAGTGGGCGCGGGCGACTTCCCCTCACTTCGCTCCATTTCCCCTCCAAATACAAAATACAAACGCTGCCAATGGCGGTTTAATTTAGACAGCAACACGATGATAAGTGGTATCGTGAAAAGTAAGCGCAAACTGTGCTCCAAATATTATGAAGAATGCTTGCTTCATTCTAAGTAGTAATCACGATGGTTATATTCAAATATACTAAAATTGTTTGAGCTAGCTTGGAATGTTATAGCATGTGAATGAATTCTCTAATGAAAAGAGTAAACTTTTTCTCACTGGACAAGTAGATTTATGGTCTGGTCTTTTCGGCGGATTATTTGATGTACATAGCAATAATGCGAAGTAAATTACTGTAACAAGTCAATGCAGTTTCTCTCCAATAGTAAAACATCCCCTTACGCATATATAAGATCTCACAGGTGGACACTAATCTTCGTTCCTAAACTGATCGTAGGCACTATTGCGAAGGAAACTTTATTAAATCAATAATTGCACTCTTACGTAAAAACCGGTTACGAAACTTGAAAACCTTTGCTTTGAAAATTTTAATTTTATTCTCAAATTGTACGTTTAAATGTGAGTGATGCAGTTTGTTGTAGTAAAAGAAATGGGAATTCTAATCACTCAATTTGAGACAATAACACAACGAACTTCTCCAAAAGACTTTTCATGGGCGAGGTTTCAATCGACATACCTTCGCCCTGGAGTATTTGTGAAATCCTTTTTTTTTTTAACTTCACTGAAGTTGCTCTCACGCAGTGTTCGGGAGCTCCACGAAGCTCGTTACCTTGCCCGCGATCTCGACATGCCTGCTGTAAAATACTGAACATTACTTTATTTTAATTGTTTCACCGTATAACCTCATAGTTCATTCCCTTCGTGCAACGAAAACTACAAATATGAAAATAATAAATTGGTCTTTTCAGTCTCGTTACAAAGAGTTTACATTCAACTATAGTACGTAACCTTGGTGTGTATTACTTTCCCTCCTTCCTTTTGTATATCGAGACAAACGAACTGGTCGATACTCGAGAACTTCAACTCCTATGTTCACTGCTTCGACATGTCCGTGAAGGTCCAAAGCCATATTTCTCGATGTGTTGGTTTCAAGAAACTCTAACAACGGTAGTTCTAAGTCCACTAAACTGATTATGGGTTTCAATTTAAGGATTATTAGAAGAAATCAATAGATTTCTTTAATATCTCTAAAAATTTTAGATATTATTATCTTAATACGTTCCTGACATTGTGTAACGTGTTCAGGAAATCCCAATAACTAATAATCACACCTATTATCCTCTAAACGGTAGTGAAATGATTGTGCAGTTTTCGTCGAACAACAGAATTAATCATACGGCAGGTAAATTCCATAAATATTATGATATTCTTATTATTTTTGTAGTAATTGAGTATTCTTTTTGTTTAAATGTAAGTACATCTAAGCTCTAAGCACTTTTTCATCTGCAAAGAATACAGCACAAAAAGAGACATTCAATGGTATATCGTTTGTTAATGTTTTAAAATCAAGACTGATAAAACAGTACATTTCTGTAGTGACTTTGAAGTAGGTATAGTTTTAATCGCGCAACCATTCTTGACCGATGACCTTGCTTCCCCTCTCTGGCACATTAAACAGTTGAAGGCAAAAGCTCGCAGCGACACTGATGACAGCATTCCAAACACTTCACTGACGCGAAATAGAAATTATTTCTTGTTGAAGAGAACTTCTGTCTGTGATTTTCTCCAAAAAATCTAAGGACATGAGCAAAGCAGGTGAATATCCATCACAGGAGATACCTCGAATTCATTAGAAAGAATGCAAATTATTGAGAAAGATTGCAAATTGCGAAGGCATGACTAATTCTCAAGAGATTGACATTGCTTCATAAAATCTAGTGGCTGATTTCGTAACTAATACCCCCACTTTACTCGCATTTCATCAATCCATCGGTCAAGAAAAGCTGCGCTAGTAATACTGGCTTTCTCATTTTAGCGTTCTCTTGTTGAAGCGCACAATATTACCTGCCTCTGCGGCAAGGGACCTTTTCATCGTACTCTAACCGAATGATAGGGATGGGTGGCAGAGAGGCAAACTTGGGAACAATTTCACATCGCGGGTTTCTGTTGTTGATCAAGTTAGTATTTGAAAGTCTCCAGGTACTGAGGAGGAACAAATAGAATAAACTTTTTCATAAATTCTCATGATAATTGGTAGTATTTTTCTTTTATTATTTACTGTTAATCTATTATTTTACTCGAGAGGACGTAAAAAGTTTGAAAATGCCCTTAATAATAATTTAATATTATTATTGTTATTATTAATAATATTAATATTATTATTTCTAACGGTCACCTGTTTTTAAATCGTTCTTTCCGATTTAGAATTTCCGTTATGGGATCAACAGAAAGGCAAATATTCTCTCAATCTGAAGCTATGTTATATCGTAATACTCGTTTGTGTGCTGCCGGGATCTCTATTTCTGTGCACTTTCCCAGTCCCCCGCCCTGTCGCCCCTTCCAGCGTAACTGACTCTGCCGCGAACGCAGAGAGCACAAGGTCACGGGTGTTGCGACGATAAGAAATTTCCAGTCGGCGTCGTGAAATATTAAATAACCTATCAGACACAGACGATAAGTTTATCCCAAATTAGTTTTAAAATATTAACTTATACTTTACCCCAGTATTTCGTTTTATGAAATACGATAATTATTCGACGTAAAAAACTCAAGTTCAATGAAAAATGTAAGATGAATCAATTTCTTCAATACAAAAATAGTAGGAATAATAGCTCTATGGCATATTACTTGCCCCAAGATTTAGTATTTTTGTGGGGAAAGCAATTACGATATCGCAAGCCGTTTAGAATATTTTAGAAGTAAGGAGCTGAGAGAACAATTGTTTCGGAATCCCTATACTATATCACTTACGAACAATTGATATCAACATTGATTTTGATTTCATTTCTTTCATACATCTACTATTTTGTAATTAAATATATTTCCCGTAAACGTATTCCTTTCATGATTTATTTGCACTAAATATGGGGAAATGAAATTGATTTAAACATTTACAGAAATGTTTAAATTGGCCCAAAAACATTGTTTTTTTTGAAATTGTTCTATCATTGCAAAAAACACTATTTCCATTTGTTTAGGTTTTATTTTGCGTAACATTTTTCAACATTTAACTATATAGAAATAATTTGTCGAGGCTTGAGGGAGAATATCACTGTGAAGTTGAGCACTAGTTGATTTTCTATATGCAAATTGAGAGGGGAGAAACTTAATACGATATTTTTCATTTTTTTATCGTTAATTATGCAACTTCCTTTAACCATTGCTTTCTGAGTAAGTTCTAGGTATTTTTGGATTCAGAAAATTTGTTCTTAACGAAATACGAAAAAAACATAGATATATGATTTTTCATAATTTATTAAAAATTATATTCGTCTTACCCGATTGTCTTATCCAAAATGATTTTTTAGTTAATATTTAGAAGATTTATATTTGTGGACTATTAAGAAATATTTTGTTTCATACCATTTCTACGAAATGTACTGTTACAAATACAAATACATGGAAATTTAGTAAGTAAGAAATATATGGCTTGTAAAAACTTACCAACGGTGAATTACTCAAATACAAGGCGATTAGTGATAGTGAAAACATTTCATTATTGCATTTATGATTTTAATATACATGATATACTCAACACATTGAAATAATTTAAATGTTAATACTGTATCTCCTTTCCGATACCTTTGGAGGTCAAGGAACCAAAGACAACTGAAATGTAAGGAAACCAAGGGATGTAGTACCTGTTCACAGCTGCGTGCGTTTAGAAGCTGAGCTATCCATTACGTGAATCACCTCCGCCTTCAGCATTCTCCTCCGACATGCACGTCACCACAAATCAGATTAGTCTGCCTCGTTTGCCGTCTCGCCGCAGAGTGCGCTAG